CTCCTCTCGGCCCATTGCTCCGTCCTCCTTCTCCTCGTCTCGCCTCTTCCGCCCTTCCTCCCCCTCATCCATGCTCCTCCTTCTCCTCCTCCTCTTCCTCCTCCTCTTCCTCCTCCCTCTGACCCTTCTCCCACCGTAATTCCTCCCGTCTGCGTCCTTCCAAGCATGTCTCCCCCTTTTTCGCTCGCTCGTCGTCTTCGTCCTGGTCCTCGTCGCCGAGGGCGTCGGCGCTGTCGTCGTCGCGGGGGGCGCCGCGATCCTTCCGCTGCTCGATCCGGCACGACTGCAGATCCACGAGGAGCTCCCCCAGGACCTGCGGGCTCATCGCTCAGGAGGCGTGGGCAGAGGGGGAGGGGGAAGAGAGGCAGAGCGATCGCGAGGGGGAGGAGGAGGAGGAGGAGGAAGAGGAGGAGGAGGAGGAGGAGGAGGAGGACGAGGAGGAGGAGGAGGAGGAGTAGGAGGAGGAGTAGGACGAGGAGGAGAAGGAGGAGGATGGAAGCGGAATTGGAATAGACGCGAAGCGTCATAACAAGTGAACGCCACTCTCTGCCATCTCAACCCTGGATACACACGGCGGAACCGGTAAAGACGAGTTGCAATGCACGGGAAGATGGGGTCCAGCAACATGTTACGCGACTGATAATTTGACAAACAAGCCCAAGGAACGACTGTTTGATACCTCGAATGAATACCTCCCTACATGGAGGAGGGCGAGGAGGAGGAGGAACTGGCTTGCTCGCTTGTGAATCCGAGCATGCCCAGATTTCGGGCCACTCGAAACAGCGGGGGCCGCAGGGCGTTCGAGAACACCGTGCTCCCGTCGACGTTCTGGCCCAAGCGATCCGCCTGGGGACTTCCTGATCGCGGCGCAGCGTCGGAGAGCCCGTGCTCGAGCACTGGCTGGCACTACAGTTATGTCGGGCGTGTCCCCCTACAGGGGGATTTTCGACGAAACATAAAGCATACCCCCAAAATACACCCAAAAGGTCAAAACAATACCCCCCCAAAAGTTCCCATACTATTTTTGGTATATTTTTGGACTATATTTGGGCTTTTTTTTATTTTTTTATTTTTCGTCGAAAATCCCCCTGTAGGGGGACGCCCGGCGTAACACTACAGTCGGGGCTGATTGGAAAGGACACGCGAGGGGGCACGAGACCCCTCCGAGGCCCCGCTGCCACAGGAGTGTGAGAAGGCACGGGTCGCGAACCTCAGGACACAATTTTTTGATCTGCGGGGCGAGAGCGAACCTCTTCCGTTAAAAGCTAAGCGGGCTACGCACAGCTTTAATTAGGGAGACAGGGCACAGGAAGGCGGGGCCTCAGGCGGCCGGAGCGGGCGGGGCCTGGGGAGCAGGCGGTGCCGAAGTGGATGTGCAAAAGAAGCTCAGGACACAAGGACACCCTTGATCTGGCAGGGTCGACCGACTGATCAGTCCAAGACTGGGCAGCAAAGGGTACTTTTCAGTTTTTCTGCTGATCAGTCTTAAGGATGCCTGGGTATGTTTCATTTTTTCTGCCCATGATAAAAAATATTCTTGCATTCGCATTTTTTGTTTTTTAACACCAAAGGGTATACTCTTCAGTCCAATACTGATCAGTCGACGAAGAAGGGTCGGCTGTACGTCAAAACTGAGACGACCAAATCGAAATGTGTGGAGGAATCGGGCGTTGGCAGAACTGGGTCTAGTGGGACCGGGTTTAATGATCTGTACTGGGGACGCCCCCCCCCCGTCCCATGCCACCAACCGGAGTTGCCGTCACCCGAAGAAGCACCAGCTATGGCAAACCTGGTTTAGTGATTCTGGCCCATTCAAGGGTTCCGGGGCCCTACCAGTAACCAGGTCCCCTTACCGGGGGTCCTGGCCAAACCCGATGGAGGAAGGTCGAGGGGGACGCGGCGGCAGTCCGGGGCGGCGCCGGCAGAAAAGGCAGGGGGGGGCGACGGCCAGGCCAGGCCGCACGGGGGACTGAGAAGCGACGTGCCATCCCAGCGTGCCAAGCACGGAAGGAGACGCGCTGCAGTCCAGGAGCAAGACGCCGATCCCCCAGCCACAGCCCCAGCAGCGACGAGGGGGCGAGAGGGGAACGAGGGAGGGGAGAGCGCCGGGCGAGACGAGAGGGAGCGAGAGACAGAGAGGAGGGGAGGCCCAGAGAGCACGCTACGCATCAGCAGCGGAAGGCGGGGCGAGGAGAGAGAGAGAGAGAAGAAACAAGCAGGCAACGGAAGGGGGCAATGGCAACTGCCAAACACGGAGCGAAACATGCCAGTGCATGAACGAGTGGAAGGGGCCCCACGACCAAACCTCACTAGCAATTACCCGCCACGGCCACTATCGGCTCCTGTTCCCCGAGCTAGTTCGCCTTCCTCCGCACTTCCTCATTCTTCTATCTCCTCCTCCTCGTCCTCCCTGTCCTCCCCTGCCCGATCTTCGCCTCGTCGTCTTCCGATGTCTCGTTCTTCTCCCGCCTCGCCCCTCGTCCTCCCCCTGCTGCCGCGGCTCCTCCTCCGCCGTCCTCGTGGAGGCGCGCAGGAGCCGCCTGCGTGCGGAACAGGGGGTCGGAGAGCGTCTCTGCATTCAGGTCGAACTCCACCTGTTTCGCCGCGGGCGGGTGCGAGCATGCTCGTCGTGCACAGAGTGGGTCGAGGAGATGGAGGAGGCGGATCACACCGAGGGGGACAAGGGAGAAGAGAAGATGGAGGAAGAGAAGGAAACAGAAGAGGGCCGTAACCACCTCCCATGTGTCAGCCCGCACCGCAATCAATCATTTCCTACCCTCTTGCCGTCGTGCTCTCTATTCTGGCGCAGTGGCAGCTTTGCCGGACGCGTGCCAACCCAGAGCGCTAACAGTGGACGTTCCATGTGAGGATGAGGGGGAATAGCAGCGTGAAGGTGATGTTCATGATGATGCTGATGATGACGATTATGATGATCATGATGATGATACTGCTGATGATGCTGGTGATGATGGTGATGAGGTTGTTGCTGTTGTTGATGATGACGATGACGATGCTGCTGATGACGATGTTGATGATGCCGATGATGTGGATGATGATGATTCTGATGATGATGCTGATGCTGATGCTGATGATGATGATGATGATGATGATGGTGGTGGTGGTGGTGGTGGTGGTGCTGCCGCTGCTGATTACGATGAAGAAGAAGGGTGTTATCATGGCACTGATGATGCTGGTGATGAGGAAGAGAGAGGATTGGGATTGGCCGCCTGCTAAGACGAGTTCGATTAAGGCTGATGCTTGGAATCTGTGTTGTGCTGTGAGGTTTGCAAATAGGTCGTGAATGTTGGCCGCAGCCACTGGGGGCATTACCGAGCCTGTGCATCAGATTGGTGATCAGCTCGAGGCCAGACACTTCGGCATTTGTGAAGGTGCGATCGCCTAGATAGCGCTCGCTGGCAATGGGGACCTGGCGTGTGCTCGTCTGGTCGAAGATCCCGAAGACGAATCCAGAAGGAAGCGTAGAGGGAAGAGGATACTGATGATGCCACCAACATCCCTTCCCTTGACGCTGGCAGGCCTCCACATTCCAAGACATGGCGGCAGAAGGTGGAATGTTGCCCCGGAGCCCTGGTCCAGCGGAAGACGGCGCCGAAGGCGGCACGGAAGACGGCACGACAGGACGAACGAAACGAGGGGAAAGATAAGGAGAAGGAGGAGGATGAGGAGGAGGAGGAGGAGGAGGAGGGGGAGGAGGAGGGGGAGGAGGAGGAGAAGGAGGAGGAGGAGGAGGAGGACGACGACGCAGAATAAGGCGAGGCTTCGCGGACTACATGCGTCGCGCTCTGTGTGCCAGCTGGGCGGAACAGCCCAACCGCAAAATCAGGCCACGAGGCTTGGGAAACAAGGCTTTCGCCTCCTCCCGCACCTCGCTCACCACCGAGGCACTCCCGCCTGCTTATCTGGGATGGCCATCCATCTCTCCCGCAAGCCAGGGGCATCAACTCAGATGTTTGACCCAGGTGTCAACCATGCCATGGGGCCTGGGTGGCAACGTCATCGCCTCCCCTCACGCCTCGCCCACCCCCGAAACCATCCCGCCTGATCGCCTGGCAAACGAACTTCTCTCCCCCGCGAGCCCAGAGCCCCAGCCAGTGGCCGAACCCATGTGGAACTCGGCATCCCTCTGGCCCCGCACACCTGGCAAGCCAGGTCTAAGCCCCGGGACGACCGCATCGAGGCCCCTGCGCGCCAGGCTCCACTCCTGAGGCTCCGGGGGAAAGGCCACTGCCCCCCCGAGGAGGGGGGAGGAGGAGGAGGAGGAGGAGGAGGAGGAGGAGGAGGAGGAGGAGGAGGAGGAGGAGGAGGGCAGAGGAGGAGAGGAAGAAAGAGGAGGGAGGGGAAGGAGGACAGGAGGAAGAGGAGGAGAAGGAGGAGGGAGGAGGAGTGGGATGGGGAGGAGGAGGAGGAGGAGGAGGAGAGGAGGAGAAAGGGAGGATGGAGGAAAAGAGGAAGAAAGGCGGAGGAGAGGAGGACACAGAACATGTGGAATAGGACATGCATGATGATGAGGATGATGATGATGATGAGGAGGAGGAGGAGGACACGGAGGACAGGGAGTAGGAGGAGAAGGAGGAGGAGTAGGAGCAGGAGTAGGAGTAGGAGGATGGGAAGGAGAAGGAGGAGGAATAGGAGAAGGAGTAGGAGTAGGAGGAGGAGGAGGAGGACCAGTGTAAACTCAATAATCATCAACGATGTTGGAATACACTCTCCCTCCAAGCTCCCTCTTCATAGGCCCCTACAACGGTGTATTTCCAGTGAAGGAACTGCCTCGTTGGAAGACAACCGTTTGAAGACCCTGAAGCATGCCAAAACATCTTCTCGGGATTCTAACGCCACGGATCAACCTGACTGTTGCGTCCTGAAGGTCATGAATCGTGCCAGGATGCCATTCCTGGGACTTCACAACACCACGAACCACATAAGGGCTGCACCCTCATGATCCGGAGTCCTTCCAAAACACGAATGTGCGCGGCGCTACAGCGAGATCCACATTTTTAAAAGGAACCACCCTCAATCGTGAAACACTTGCATTTGTTGCCAACCATCCTGTGGTATTGGGTCCCCGCGTTCACTCCTCATCCTCCTGCTGCCCTTTCCCTCCCCGTCTCATGATCGTCATCACCCGTTTCAACACACCCCTCACACGTTTCGTGGCCCCATAGGGAGCCCCACCGAAGGCCCAACTGCCAGCGATCGCATGCGCCCGCCGCACCCATTTTGGCACACCCCTCACACGTTTTGTGGCTCCATAGGGAGCCCCACCGAAGGCCCAAGTGCCAGCGTTCGCATGCGCCCGCCGCATCCATTTTGGCATACCCATCACACGTTTCGTGGCACATGCGCCCGCCGCACCCATTGTGGAACACCCCTCACACGTTTCCTGGCTCATGCGCCCGCCGCGCCCATTTTGGCTCAAGCACCACATCGGGGCTCAAGTACCACATCTGGGCTTCGCCTTCCATCGATAAGTGCATTCTTTCTTGTGCCTGGACTGCCTGCGCTCCGCAGCTGGAGTGGCGACCTCCAGTGCCAGTGTACGATGACCATGATTTATGAGGAAATTAACAGGCGGCTGGAGAGAGTGCTGCACAAGTCAGATATCGAGTGCGACACCTGCGGGGACATCATCCCAGGTGGAACTCGACGCTAGGCTTGTGACGCATGCTGTTGGCACATCTGTGGGTCATGCCGTGCCGACAAGCGTGAACATCCAGCGGGGAGCACACCAGAGAGGAAGAGAGGCAGGGGGCAACCCATCGGCGGAGCACCGCGCTTCGATCGGAACACCGGCATCTACCCATGGGACGAGGACGAGGACGAGTTGATGACGAAGGGAGGGGGGGAAGGAGATGAGGACATGGAAGGACGCTTGATGAATGAGATTCGAGCGATCCCCAAGATGCCTGCGCAGCAGTTGTGGCCATGGCGGAGGGAGGTGGCAGAACTTCCGGAGGAAGCGAAGTCAGTGCGAGTGCAGCCCGAGAGGGCTTCGGAGAGGGCGAGCTCTGCCACGGAATCGGTTCGCAGCCTCCGCGCGGACGTGGAGCAGATGCAGCGGGCGGGGCAGGAGAAACCGCCAGATCTCGTCAGGTGATCGTCGGAGGCTTCTCGGAGGAGTCGGAGGCGTTGAAATCCAAGGTGGAGGGATTCTTGAAGGAGGACTCCAGGAAGACCAAGGCACAGAAGGTGTTCACGCTCACGGACTTGGCCCTCGTCGGAGTCATCCAGTTCACCACGGAGGCAACGAAGAAAGGCTTCTGCCAGCGTATCCGGAGGGCGTCGATAAACATAGGGGGAGACACCAAACTTTGGTTTGCAGATAATCGAACATTCAAGGCACGGGGACGGGACAGAGCACTTGGTTTGATCAAGGGGCACCCCATTGACAAATGTGAGAAGGACCCCAAGATCGTCCGCATTCTGTGGAACCAGGGCGTAGTCAAGTTGCAGGGCAAGGTTGTGGCGACCGTCACGGACAACGCAGTGGTCAAGCCATCGGAGGAAAGACGATGTGCAGGCAGAGATCGAGGAGTGGTTCGACAATCGTGGCGGGAGGAGAGAGGACGACGCGTAGGGTTCGTGGGTGCGTACACGCACTCGCTTGCCCAAGAGTGCCAGGCCAAGAATAGCACGAAAAAGGTCATCTACAAACGTGCATTTTTGCATTCTGGTCAAAATCTTCTGAGGAGCTGTGGGGGAGGACGGGACAATTTCAGAACAATGGATGGTGACGTTCCTGCTTGTCTACTCTCGCGGGCACAGCCAGGAGGTTGCGACAAAACGGCGTCATTTACAGCGCAACGCGCGGTAGTTGATCCAGTCAGAAAAGCAAAAGGGAAGCAAGAAGCATGGGATATTCCATCATTTACAACATTGCAGTTTCTTGCGAAAAGCTTTCAATCGATCAAACATAAAAACCGATTTCAAGAATTGTTGGCTGAATTATCTGTTATGGGGAACTGGGACGCTGTTCTCGTGAATGAAACGTGGGGACCTGCAGAGGAAGAACAGTTCATAACAGAGAGCGGACACATCTTCTTGGGGGCCGGGGGGGCCATCAACCGAAGTGGTGTAGCAATTTTGGTGCATACGCGGTGGGCTTCTGGCATATCGTCATTTTCAACTAGCGGCGATCGTATATTTTGGTTGGACATCAACATTGCACACTTGTTGTTTCGGCTCGTCTCTGTGTACATGTCTGATTCCACATATCCAGATGAAGATGTAGAGGCCATGAATATAAAATTAGAACGCGTACAATGACAGGCGGTGCAACAGGGCCTGATCTTAGTCGCGGGGGGCGACTGGAACGCCGTGTTGTGCACTGGCGGCGATTCATGCGATAACCAATGTGTTGGCGACCACGGGATTGGGGAACGAAATGATCGAGGTGACACGTTGGCCGCATTTCTGGCAGAGAATATGCCATCAGCTACTAACACGTTTTACCCAATGCAAGACAGCAACACGTCGACACAC